CGGTATATATTTAGTAAAGTCATTTTTTTTTCAGTTACCTGTTTAGAAACATTTGGTCAGATTCCAACCTAAGAGTCTGACCTACAATATGCTCATTTCAGTGCATGTCCATAAAGGCCATCCCCTGTGTAACTCCTCCCGGAGTCCTTCACCTCTTCACCCCTCCCTGGACTCGAGGATTTAGGGAGAAAAACTAGTGAAACGTCAGCTGTTATAAGGCAGTATCAGTGTTAATACAGCATAAGTGAACAGAACTACTGAGGCATGTGATGTCGGCACAAGGTGCCAAGTTACGTTTTAGGCCTACAAGTTACGTTTTCACCTACAGCCCTCGGAGCCAGGGAGAGAAGTCACGTGACCATTCAAAAAAATTACAAATGTATTTATTGCTATTTTTTTGCATTCTTTGCATAATGTTTGTACATTTATCAAGAGAAACTAGGCTGAAGGATACTGGCAATTTTCCTGTCTTCATTGATGACAATCAGATCTGTGAAATCCCTGGCGATACACTGTGGGATAATCTTCTTCAGTGCAAGACCCCTTCTGTAATAAACGTGTGAGTTTGGAATGATAGATGATAGCTGTTCCGTAAACTTTACGGTTCGCTGTAAAGGATAAAAAAAAATTATTAAATTGAGAGGAGCAAAAGTCAAACAGTAAAGAAAGAAAATCACAAGCTACGAGTCTGAGGACATCCTGCCTCAAGCCAGTGGTCCTCTAGGACAGCGGTTCTCAACCTGTGGGTCGGGACCCCTTTGGGGGTCGAATGACAATTTGCCAGGGGTCGCCGGGAGTCTCCGCAAACACTTTCTCCCGGAAAGGTTTACACTGCTCGATCGAGCAGTGTAAACCTTTCGCTGCGATCGTTTTTTTTTTTTCATTTCTGACATCTGAGCCCCGGCCGCCGTAAGTGAAAAAAAAATAAATAAATCAACATTGGAATGCATAGCTACATTCCTATTGGCTATTTCACTTTGCAATAGTAAACTAGCTATTGCACCCGCCCACTGCTGCTGTCAATCAGCAGAGGGGGACCTGCAGTTCTCCATCAGGTCCCCATCTAGTGATTATCATCATTATTATTATTAATAATAAAAGTTGACACCCTCGGCTTGTGTTATAAGGTTTGCCATTTTAGCTGTTACAACAGTGGTTCTCAACCTGTGGGTCGCTGTGTGATTTCTGCTGTGGTAGGTGAGAGTCCTCCTCAGCCCTCTCCTAGCGCAGCAGTGTCAGTTCTCACGCCACGCCGCCAGATGTCGCTGCAGCAGCCACGTCATCCCTAAATTTTACCGTTGGGGGTCACCACAACTTGGCAAATGTTACCAAGGGGTCCCGGCCCTAGAAAGGTTGAGAACCACTGGTCTAGGACCAGCAACAGTAATGGATATTTGAAGCTCCTACATCCCTGCAGTTATTTATCAGCTCCCAGGTTGTGGCTTCCCAGCTTCTCTTCTACCTCTAATAACAGTACAGAAATGTCTTGAATATCCCTCCCAGGGACAGCTTTCTATATAGCAATGTGTTTATATCATGGCTATAGAGCCAAGAAGTGACAGCAGAGAAGTAACACCACCATGTGTACAGGGGAAGATCCCAGGAACTGATCACTGCATGATGGAGGCAGTACTCAGCAATTTCTTACTGCTACCTCACAGCAGTGTGGAACAGAAATGAGGGATGCAGGATGCAACTAATGATTATTTTCATAATCGATTAGTTGGCAAGATTTTTTTTTTTTTTCCGATCGGTTAAAAAAACAAATACTGTCCTTAAATTTAAAATAAAATACAGAAATGCAGTGTTACAAACAAAGTTTACTTCAGAATAAACGTGCATGCAAACGTATTTGCAATCGCAGTGCACTGGAACGCTCAGCACTAATATATATATATATATATATATATTTTGTACACAATTCTATTCATCTTGTCTTCAAGTTAGCGCAAATAAACGAACTCGAGTTAATTTTGATTTGTGGAAATAAGTTGGAATCTCCTTCATTATAGATCCTTGCTTGTTTTCATAAATAGAAAGACTGTTATTTTAGCAGTATAAACATGCTGACAGCCAAGGGATCCAACCAACTAACCCATAATGAGAATAGTTGACAACTATTCTCATTATAGTTGACAACGATTCTCATTATTAATCGATTCGCTGGTTGCAGCCCTAAAAGACACATTTTCTTACTTTTCAAGATGGAGCTAAAAACAGAACAAACTCTTTAGCTTCCACAAGCAACACATAAAGAAAACTCCCACAATCAGTGTGATAAAGAAGACCTAATACGCTAAACTTATCAGTTCAGGTGCTTTATGTCATACCCCTCGAGGGCGATCAGATGTCGTGATCAGTATCTTTGGTGCGGTCTGTCGGTTAAAATAAGGTGCAAATTCATCTGTAGCTTCATCAAATGCCACCTAGAGGAAAATATAAATTAAAAAATGTCATTGAGTTCAGTATATAATTATGAAATGTATTCTCCTGTACAGCAAAGGATTGGAGAGGAGGAGTCAGCACTCTGAGCCAATCAGGACTTTACTCTGCTTGTCATATGGCTTTCACCCCAACATCGAGAACTCGCTTACAAGAGGGGAGAGCACAGAGAGGACTTACTTATTTGGAGCTGCTCCTCCACTATCCAATCAACAGGCTGAGGGAGAATTGCCAGTTTTAACAAAGAGGTGGGATATACAACCGAGACTATTGTTACTGTAAAGAAAACAAATGGCTCAACATTTTACCTTAAATGTAAAATAAAATGACAATCTGTAAAGCAGGCGTGGGCACACTCCAGCCCACCAGCTGTGATGAAACTGCAAACCCCATCATGCATCTGTCTTTAGGAATCATGCCTGTGGTTGTGAGAATCTTGCAATGCCTCATGGGATTTGTAGTTCCACAACAGCTGGAGGGATGGAGTTAGCCCACCCCTGCTTGAAAGCTTGAAGACACTGAAAATGTCAAAGTACCTCTTCATCTGCAGGATCCACTGTTGTCTCATCATAAACACGCTGGTTTTCAATCGTTTTGGGGACAGACTTTGGTGGCGCCTGGGGAGAAAAACAAAAAACAATTTAGTACTGCACACATAGATTTGTATACATCTTTACACTGGACAGTTAAAGCGATATTAAACCTTTTTTTTTTTTTTTAAATAGTTGCTATTAGGAGACCCACCTTTGCTGGAGGCTGTTGCTCTTTTTCTTTAAAAGTTTTTAAAGCAGGCCACTCCCCTTCTCTCTTTGATTGATGACAGAAGGAGCCTACTGCTCCTCTTCCATCAGTATCCTCCCCCTGCAACCCGGAAGTACAGGGAACGGAGGATCACTTTGAGACCGGCAGCGGGGACGGGTAAGTGTGGGGGGTTACGGAGGGTGACTGGGGTAGAAAAAAGGTGCTGGGCCGGTTTTTACCCTAATGCAGAGAACACATTCAGGTAAAAAAACGCCCAGACCTTAATACTACTTTAATGTAATTTGCCATAGATCACTAAATGCACCAAAAGTCGCGATTTAGCACCGCACAATTTTCTGCCTGACTCCTTCAATAATTTTTTTTAAATAGGTTGAGCCGGGTGACGCCCACAGGGCCGCAAATTCATCCAATTACAGGCCTGTATGGCCAGCTCTACTTTACAGGAGCCCTTCATGTGTCAGGACCCCATTGAATGGAAAAGGGGGAATATCAATCTTGTTACTATTGGTTTTACACACCTTGTCACCAAGCGCCTGTCTTTCCTTCTTACGCTTCTTCTTCATAGCAATCTTTTCCTGCAAAATACAAAAAGATGCAAAAAAAATATTATCGCTGGAACAAAGTTATAAGGATAAATTTTAGTACAGTAATCCTTTCACTGATCCCTCCCCCAAAGTCTTACACTCACCTGCCCTGGCTTCGGACATCTCACCTGTGCCTACATTCATCCCTATGGAGAAGCCATCTGTCACACATCCGAATGAAGGATGGCCTCTCCAGAGGAAAAAATTAAGATCTTTCTCTGCATTCCCTTAAAGAAGAACTCCAGGTTTTTTGTTTTAATCATTAACCCTTGCAGTGGGGCTACCCCTGTACTGCGAGGGTTAAGCGCTCATTTTTGTCAAATAAAGATATACTCACCCAAAGCTCCGAGCGAGCCAGCCGTCACTGCGCTCCCTCCAGCCTGACGCCTCCTACACTGCAGTTGGAATCTTCCTCAGCGTCCTCATGCCTATACATTGTGTATTGAATGTGATGATTTACGGGACCTAAGGCCGCTGCAGTGAAGGGGGGGGGGGGAGCTCTAGGGACCGGTCTAAGAAAGTATCACTTTTTTCTTCTTCTTTTGAACCTAGACAAAAACGAGCAGGTAGCCCCACTGCAAGGGTTAATAAAACATGGCTGTGTGGCTTCCTGTGGAGTGCACAGCGGAGGTTGGACAGGAATGAGGAACGGTAAGTATACTTGCCTAGGTCAGAGGGCTGTTTGTTGACATCCAGCGCTGCAAGTCTCTCTCTAGTAGTATTACATCCCCCCCAGCTGGAAGACACCCCTATATAGGCCTGTGGGGGTGTAATGTGCAGGTGCAGCCAGTAGAGGGGGCACCGCAGTGCTGGATATAAACAACAACAGAACCCTGCCATTTGGATCTCGGTAAGTACTTATTTGCGGACAGGGGAGAGTGGGATCTGTCAGGTCAGGAGAGAGGGACAAAAAGAACATGAATAAATATATCTTATAATATGGACTTCTCCTTAAAGGAATTTTGCATGGGTTGTCAATGCACCACTACGCAGCCAAATGTGAACACCAAACAGGGCCCATTAACACCAGGTGTGTGCTCTGCTCTGCATAATGTGCATCCGCTGGTGTGTGTTGTGAAGGGGCGGGGTAACATCACATGGTTTTCAACTTTATTTAAATGTTACATTTCATTCAACTCTATGCACACCAGCACATTGCGAAGAACTAACAGCGCATTCAGCCAATGGACCTGTCTATGCATTGGGACCACATTCAGCAAATCTGTCCATCTGGTAATGGTGTGAATGGGCCCGAAGTGTACCTGCTGTGTAGAGCACAGGTCCGCTTTAACCCTCCAATACAGGCAGACAGTGACCCCGCAGTGCTGCCCCCTGGCGGCTCCTCACCTTCCTCTTCTCCTGCTTCAACTTCAGGAACATGAAGTGTCGGCGCTGCTTGTTCTTGATCTCGGACAGGCTGAATGATGGCGGGAAGACGTTGGAGCTCTCCTCCGGCTCGGCGGGCTGAGCGCTGCCTTCTCCTACGCCGTTCTGCTCCGGCTCCTTCATCTTCTTATTCCGCGGCTGCTGCTTCTTCTTCTTCGCGACCTGACAATCCCCCATGTTGGCCATGTGTGAAGAGGAGCAGACAAGTCCCACCCACCCCCAAGGACCGGAACTGACGTCAGCCTGGGAAAGAGGAAGTGGGCGGAGAGTAGCGTGACCGTAAACAGAAAGGGGCCAGTTTTGCTCGGTTATCTGTATGACTATAGAGGAAGGGGGGAGCTTCTGTGAGCTTAAAAGACCACTTCCGCTTCCGGCTTGTGCTGTCGTCATAGCGACAACGAAGATGCTTCCATAAGATATCAGAGATGATGCAGAGTGTGTTATGGCTGGTGTTCTATCGAAATTTCCAACTCGTTGAGATCTCCAACTACAAGTTTCACACTTTTGCTTCTTTAGGAAGGTGAGGCAACCTCTACTATTTCCTGAAGAAGCAAAAGAGTGAAACGTGTCGAAGGCCGGACCACTACATGCAATAGTGGTGATAAACTTGCACGATTGGACCCTTTCAAAATCATGGGACATGCTGTGGATTGATTAAATCGTTATATGTAGTAGGTCCAGGAGGCACTAAGCATGGAGTTTAGCATATCGATCGTCTTATGTATGTTTGGACTACCAACAATGTTTTTATGGGAACTTTTTTTTATTGTATAGCCTAATACAATTTGGATTTGAATGAGTTTATGAAGGTTCTACATTGTGCTTTGTGACATCTCTAAAAGCCCCATTTCATCAGTTTTTGTTTTATTCTTCAGTCTAGGGGTGAGATGTCAAATGTTTTGGGGATCCTATACACTTTTTGAAACTAATTTAAATCACTGGAGCCTGTAGGCCAGCCTTTCTTAACCTTCCAACCCCAATGGAGCCCGGATATTATTTTCAGGTCTCGGGGAACCCCTGCTTAGACCTAGCTCATCGGGGTACAGCAGGTCAAATGCTTTTTACGTTGGTAGTCAACGAGAAGACTGGTGGTCAGAATGCTATCCTAATAGAAAGCTAAAAAGATCTCTGGTGACATGGTCCTCATGTTATTGGCTTTCCCAGGTGGCGCTGGCCCAGAGACTATGCAGGCACCATCAGATGAGAAGTCAGTTAGACACAACTCAAGGAACCCACTGTCAAGGAACCAGGGGTGCCGCTCCTTACCTGCTCGCCAGCGGTGGCGCAGGGCACGGGGTTCCCCTCCTCCTGGCAGGACACCTGGCACTGGAGCGCATGCACGGCGGGTGCGCGCCCGTAACGCGCCTGCGCCACTTAGTCTTTGCAGGTGCTAGCCAGCCTGGGGGAGGTCCCCAGCAGACACCATCCGCCCAGTCAGCCCTACTATTGGCTCCTGGTTAGGGAACCTTTCTGGTCGCCTCGGCAACCAGGGGGTGGTCCTTCGTTTTCCTGTGTAGTTAAGCCATGCAGAACCTTGGCTGATTGCTGAGTTATTCTACCTCTTTGGAGTGATCTTCAGCTCCGTGTGTGTAAATCTGTTGCTGCCTGAACCCGTTATTGACCTTTCGGCCTGCCTTCTCGCTTCTGAACCTCGCTGCCTGCCTCGACCCAGACTTGGACCTGATTACGCTTTTAGATTTTCCCTCTGTACCTCGTTTTCTGACTCTTTGTCCCTGCCAAGGGGTTCCACTCACGGCCCAGCCGTACACCCCTGACACCCACTTAGGAATTTCTGAAGGAACCCTGGTTGAGAATGGCTGGTGTAGGCACATGGCCCTTGGTAACCAAAGCAATGCCCTTGTGCCCGGATCACCATTCTTACACAGAACAATAGTTTCCATTCACAAAGCTTTGCAAAAGGATAAACACCTTCATTGTCAGCCTTGCTGGTTTGAGTTCTTTCACTTCATATTACTTATATCATGCTCTGAGAAATTATCTTGTTTGATTGCCGGACCAAATACCACGTCATATTAACAACCCAATAAGTCTATTTATCATACATACAGAAAGTCCATTTGTATAGAAACCTGTAAGGTACTGGTATGGCCAGTGAGCAAGGATACGACTATGCTTTTCGCAACACTTTGCATTCTGTCGCTTCCTCAGGAGGTAAACAATTCTCAGATATGTGGTATTACACAGTAAATATCAACTTTAACCTCTTGCCGTCCGCCCGTTAAGAAAAAACGGACGGACGGCAGACTCGCATCAGCGGGTTGCCGTGTCCAGACGGCATTTTTTTCCTGCTCGCGCGCGCCCCCCAGCGCGCGCACAGGCAGGAAAGACCCGCTAGTTTTTACAGCCGTTAACGGCAGTTTCACATACAACCTCTATAGCCGCCGATCGGTTGTACGGCGTGATTTTCGGATCACCCCCCCCCATTCGCTAGTGCCACCACTCCCCCCTCCTGACCCCTCACCTTTAATCCCGAGATCCGCTAGCCCATCTGTGGCTCGGGAGGGCGTCAGGAGGAGGAGGGAGGGAGATCAGCTCCTTGCTGTCCTCCCTCTGTAGTGTGAATGATGTGTATTACATCACTTCCGCATTCGTCAGTCAGTCAGAGAGAAGAAGCTGATGAAGCAAATCTGTGCTTCATCAGCTTCTTATGGGGTCTCCAGGTGACATTAGGGGTCAAGAGACCCCTAATGTCTCCATAAAGAGGACCTGTGCTAATGTCGCCAAATAAATCACAGTGGACCCCAGCAGCCAGAGTCTCAGCCCCAGTGGACATGGAGGTATGAAAGGAAGCAGCCAGGTGAGAAGGCAAAGAACGACAGTAAGTCTGTATGACAGTTTACGGTCCCTTTTAGAATTAGAAAGATTTCTTCTACAAATAAATCCCCAGTACAGATGGTCACATATGGAGGGAACGACCAATCTGGCTGCCACCTAGACGGAGGGGTTCCAAAGGACCAACATGTTAATAATCTCCTGAAGCATGTCCCCAATCTCCAACAGCATGCATGTTCATCTCTAACCATCTCCTGGTACAGATTGTTCTGTACCGTTACATACACGTTACATACACTCAGCCCTGAGTGCACTTGGGGCCGCCTATATCAAGTATGTTGACCACCATTGTCATAGACAATAGCTGACTTTCTGAAAGTCAGAATTTGCATAGGCACAACCCCTACCCACCCATGTAATGGGCAAACACCCCTGATGATTTTTTCATGGATCAGAGGGCAAGGCAGCCTGGCAAGGACCAATCACTTTATAGATTTCATACTAGTGAAAGTTTTAACAAAACCCAAAATTCATTCATCAATATGCCAAAAAAACAGCTATTCGAACCTGTTTGTTGCTCTTTCATGAACTGTTTGGAAGGAACAGTAATGCAATTGAACCTATAGCAACACTATGTGGTTCAGATAAAGCATAGCAATCCATCCCATCCACACAGGAAACTCCTACAACTGCTATGAAGAAACTCCATCAGAGTCCACATACCGGTAGTACAGTGATCAGGAAAGTCAGGCATCATACTGCCATCTTGTGGGCGAAATATAAAACTACAGTTCTGTATGTACAGCATATCAGGGAAGCTGACCATACATAAGCTGAGCTCCAGGATAAGTAAATATTGTCTAAATGCGAGAGCCATGCGTATCTTCCTTCAATCTTGGAGAGCTTTGTGTATTTCTTCCAGAACTTTGCAGTAATCCAGAATGAGACTCTGTACTGAAGCTTCCTGTAATAAGAACGGTCAGTGCCGTTCTCTCTCCTTGTGCAGGGTGACTGGTCTTCCCTCCGCCCCCCCCTGTAGTTTTCTGCAGGTAGTGGGTGGGGCCTACTGGGTCAGCTTTAATTGGATTTCAAACACAAGTTAATCACACATACAGTCACAAGCAATCCCCAAAAAGTGATCTATCACCCACAAGTTTGATCGACCACTAGAATTTGATTGGTTGTGAAGTCAAAATTGGGCAACAAATTGGCAAAGTTTCAATACAAATGAGCTCAATTGAAGCAAAAAAAAAAAAAAACGTCCGCAATTTTGTCAGAAATAGATACCAGTTTCTGAGTCCAAGGGGGTACTTACTTTTTCACAGTACACGGTTACATCTGTTGATATTTTTGTTAAATAATTTAAAGGTAGCATTTTCTTAAGTATCACTTTTAGGCATCGTTGAATACCTAATGTTTGCTTGTTGAAATATGTTAGAAAAAGTCAACAATGTCCATGGGGCGTACTTACTTTTTCTAGTGGCTGTATGTTGGAGGTTGTAAAAAGGTCACAAAGACATCAAGTGAATGTTTGAATGGCTGGCGTACTGCTAAGGGTTCCACGCAGTGCTTAGACAGAGGGGATATCCTAATATAGGTCCTTCTTATTAGGCAAGGAGGTAAAGGGTTATGTGAATGTGGCCGATGGGGAATGGTACAATGATTTAAGCTAAACCCCGGGAAGATATAAAAAAAAAAACAAAGTAGTGCAGTATTTAATAATACATCATTAAATGTATGTTTTAAATTCGAGAGGTGTTACTACCTGAATTTGACCCAGCATCAGCCTCTTGCAGTCCCCTGTAGCTGAGCTCAGACTGGGAGCAAGAGAAGCAGCACAAGGAGCATATGTCTACGAGTACGAAGGCTCTCATTCATCCAGGTCATGGACTATCTGTAAAAAATAAATCAAGGCAACTGTATTTTTCTTGAAGATGTTTTTCTGGTCATCCAACCAGCTTTCTCAGTTCACAATGACTTGTACAAAAAATATCTTATTATGTTTATTATAAACAGCATGTGATTAGAGACCTCATGGAGGTAAAGCGTTTATTTAATTTGCATGATTGGAGCTCTCAGGCGTTATAAAGCACCCACCCCCATAGAGAGGTGTTAAAACAGCATTGTATGTGGCAGACAATAGACGTCTCACCACCACCACCCTTTTTACAGATAGCAAAAGGAGCAGAGCAGTTCATGTGCTGACAAGGAGCATGCTGATAGGACGAGTTAGCAGAGTACCTGAGACACCAGCTTATCAATGTGCTGCTCTTTTTTCACTGTCCAATCAGGGGCTTGGGCTGGGAAGGTGACCTCTAAGTGTTAGTCAACTGCAACAAAGAAAACAAATCGGTCTCCTGCCCTGCCAGACAGGGCTGTGCTGTGGGGCAGAGCTGTGTGAAGGAATCTTTTGGCAGGTACACAGGTCCCATATATATGTGGCATCTGTGTATTCAGCTTAATGACACCCATAAAGGGTCCTAATATGCCTATATGTTTAGGAACCTGAAAATATGACAGACCAAGGCACGTGAAATTAAAAAAAAAAAATTTTAATATACAAAAGCTAAACTACATTTATTAACAGCATACAGTTATCAAAATACATAGGGATGAGTTAAGTGTTAGTGATAGGTCAGAGGTCAGAGAATGTTCTGCAGACTTTTATACTCATTTGTTTTTGGCAGGAATTGGTTATGTATTTATTTCAAAGTCAAATAAGTAATATTCTTTAATGTTCATTCGATTTACAGTCGCTGAAGTGGGCGACCATTTTCTTAAATGCTTCATAAATGAGTTCCTTCTGGGTGCAAATGAAGCCCCCGCTTCTCCATATTTGCCCAGGCTGGCGGTTCAGGTCTCCAATGCAGATCCAACTATCGCTGGTATACCTGGCAATGCACCACTTGGAGTGATCGTAATGAGAGTAGAAGGAAAGATTTGGCAGGGCGATCCTCTGTATGTTGTAGACATGCCATGGCAGAGAGCAGTTCGATGGAAGTTCTTTCTCCTTGGGATGCCACGTTTCCGTCAGTAAATCCGTTTTCAGGATTTGAGCCATCCAGGCTGTGAAGATATCTATGAGACCAACATTATAAAAGGAATATGTCTGTGAAGGTTCTCATTCATCCAGGTCATGCTATATATCTTTTTCCTTGACTTACTTTTTGCAGATATTATAAAAAGAACCACGCAATGCAAAAGGAGCCAGTATATATATTGTAACCTATAACACCTAATTGGAAGATGACTGTATTCATTTTGATTGTTGCTTTGGGTTATTTCATTTTCATTTTGATTGTTGCTTTGGGTTTTAATGCTTTGTTTACAGCTTTTTATTTTTGTATATATATATATA